GCTGTCGCCGCGCGATACGGGCACCCATCATTCGCATCATGGCGGCTGTCCCAGCGGCTGCTCGGGTGCTGTGCCACGCAAGCCGCTGCACACTCTGAGCAATTCCGCCTCCACATCCTCATCCAGCAGCAGCGGCATTGGCAGCGGCAGCGGCAGTGGCTGCATGACGCCAACGCCCACACACACCTATCCGGGACGACGGCACGTGAAGAGCCGCATGCTGGATCTACAGAATCGACTGCCACCCATCAAGGAGTTTCGCAGTCCAGCCAAAGTGCCACATCCTTCGCCGGTGCATGTCAGCAATCCGCGTTTTCGGTGGGTTAATACTGTGCAGCATGGCACCACTTGCCAATCCGCTGTTATTCATCCAATCCATCTCTTTCCTGCAGCTACGCCTCCTACACGAAGTCGAGCGGTCATGAGATGGCACCGCTGCTGCGCGAGTCCACGTCGCCGCCGCCGGCACGTCGCCCCAGTCCCATGAATATACAGCTAAGCTGCACAGCGCTAGCACCGCCGCCCCTTAAGGCAGGTGGAGCCAAGATTTGTCCGCTCAACGCCAAAAACTCGCTGCCCAAAAATGCCTATGTGATGCCCAAGGATAAGAAGATGTCGATTGCCGCAGTGCCGCCAACTAGCAAGGGGCAGGGCGCCGCCAAGGCCACGTCTGGATGCACAGCGGGCGGCGGCGCCGCCTCCGCCCCAGGCGGCAACGGCAAGCCACACACAACCGCTTCCACTCGCAGCTTTCCGCTCTTCTCCAGCAGCAGCGGCAGCGGCAGCAGCAGCGGCGGCAACGGCAGCAATCACAGTAAGTTGATCGCGATAGATGGCGCCAGGATGGCGCAAAAATTAATTAGGTTCCGCTCAACAATTTTGCAGAGGAAAAAGCCGACAACAAGAAGAACGAATCCATGGAACGCAAGAAGAAGGAGGAGAAGCTCAAGATGAAGGCTGAAAAGGAAGCCAGAAAGGTGGGTTCCCCCCGCACTCTTCCGTGCACTCTTAATCTCTTTCACTCTCTCACTCATTCGCTGCGCTTGCATATTGTGGGGCATAAGACTTTATTGTTTCGCCGCCAGGGGGCGCCACACGGCGCCCATTCGCATTGTTTGTAATTGGCCTCGTTTGCTTCCGGTGCCGCTGCCGCTGCCGCAGCAAACTTTTTCATTAAGCTCGGGGCGAGCGCGTCTCCCCCCACTGCACCGTGGCCGAATCAGAGGGCGAGCAGGGTGCGGGGCGGTAGCTGCAAACAAAAAAGTAGAACATAATGCGCGTTGCACTTTTTAAGCTTGCTATTTATTGCATGTTAAACAAGCAAAGCTTGCACTCATGCCTGATAGAGTAGAGGATACCCTGTAATCAGTTGATAAGTGCTTTCAGTTCCTTAAAGTTCCTTTCCTTGTAAGGTACATACATATACAAAAGCTGTAGCTTTTATATCAAATACTCTGTAAAAGTGCTAAATCTTTTGATAATTTATAAATGTAGACAGCATTAATTGGCGACATAATTTGCTTGCAGCTTTAATATTCTTTAGCTCAAAGCTAACGTATAGGTGTCTTAGACCAATAGATGCCCTGTAATCAGAGCTGAACATGTCCATTAATTCCTATAAATAACTCAAAATATTTCAATAAAGTCATGGATCCAAGCACATGTGTTGCTGTGATACTCTCTAAACATCAATAATCGTTTAATTTGGTTAATAAATAGGTTAGTTCAGTTGACTAAGTAGTGACAAGCAGACAACCTATAATTAAAATAATATATATTTTTAAATAAAACGTATGACAAACACAAATTGGTTCCATTATAGTCAGAAATTCATATACCCCATTGAGCTGACTTTATTCAGCGAGATTGAAACTAACATTTTGCCCAACATTAATTAGAAGCATAACGTTATAATGTTGCTGCTTATATAACGGGTTATTATAACTCATTTTGTGCATTTAATTGAACGGCAGGAGGAGAAACGTCTGGCCAAGGAGGAGGAGCGAGTGGCCAAGCTGCATGCCAAGGAGGAGAAGAAACGTGGCAAAAAGGAGGCCAAGGAGCTATTATTGGCAAACGATGGCAATAATAAGAAATAAAGTTAATTAACGTGCAAAGTTAATGTTCAAATTACAAACTATAACTGGCATCTGTATTATATCAGGCATTATATAGACACTACACGACACACACACACACACATCGATGAACACATCACATATAGACGAGCTTGATTGTATTTATACGATATTTATTTCATTTAGCGGTATTTACAATAAACAAATTCATTTTTTACACAAACGAAATAACCAAAAAAACGAAAGAAAAAACAAAATTTAAACACACAAAAAATTGTTTTTTAGTGCAACAATTTTAAAGAACAAATTTTTTATTGTAGTTTTTAAATTTTTCTTTTAGTTTTCTTCAATTTTTCATATATACTTTTATATAACTTTTGTGACTCTGCCTTAGCCACAGAGCACTTATAAAAGTTAAAAAAAATGTTTTTTAGAATTCTTTTTTACTATTTTTTCTTTGCTCCCAGTCAAGTCTAAGAAACTCATCTGTCTCATAAGTTGAAAGGTTGTTCCAAACAATTGTTTTTAAAGAATACTAACAATTTAAACAGATTCTAAACTTAAGGTTCAAGTTATACAAAACTGAAAAACAAAACGAAAGAGATTAAAACTCAATTCACTCAAACTTCAATTCTATGCCTAATAGATTTTAATACCAAACCCAAATGGAACAAACCAACTGCAGAAGCGTAGCTAAAGCAAAGGATAACAAGAACAAATGAAACCGATCTAAAGTTAAGAACTCTTTTGAATCCCATAAAGACAAGTATTTAGTGAGCGTTAACAATTTGGAACGTGTTAAATTATTGAAAAGAATTCTAAAGTAGTTTTGCATATAACAAACTAAATATACTACTATCTAACATATATATACTATACTATGTATTGTACTATAACTATAACTATAACTATAACTGAACTATAGTTCTATAGATTCTATGCCCCATATATTGGAAAATTGTTCAAATGACAAACATAAGCAATGTGTATTACTAATTGTTTTCGAAAAACAAACAAACAAACAAACAAACAAACACAATACCCAATAAAGACAAAGTTATTTAGTTAAATATCTGTTTGATTGGCCGCCCTTTTGGCCTCGCGCTCTTTTCTTTTTAGGCATCTGCTGAAGATCCGGGCATAGGTGTAGGGCAACTCGTCCTGGCACCGCAGATTGCCCATCTTGTGTATGGCACCAAAGTCCAGGCAATTGATGACCTTATCACCATTGCAATCCTGTCCGTTCTTGTACATATAGTTCTGGATTGTGTCTGCCGCACAGTGCGGATCATTCACGCAGTTGGTAAAGGCTGTCGGAGTGAGAGTTTTAACTCTGATATACTCAGAAAGGATCTGTATGCTCACCCTCCTTCGACAGTGAGGTATCGTTGGGCAACGTAATTGCTCCACCTTCCATCCAGAAGCCCCAAGTGATTCGAAAGATGCCACACGCCCCATTCACACAGATCTGTGTCGCATTGCAGCCGCTTTGCGCCTCGCATAGACATTCCAGGCAGTCTTCCGTGACGGGTCTGTTTACAACTAATCCCGCGGCAGCTAGGGGGTAAGTAGAAGGGGTCGGATTTAGTAAGAGTTGTTTAGCATATTGGTTAGTTTCCAATTGAAATACGTCTGGTATACGCGAGATGCGATTAAATATAACAGCAAAAGCCGGTTCACATTATCATAGTTACAAAACAGATACTATTCTCTGCCGATAATTATCGCACACTGTAGCGGCACAGTGGAGTGTGTTGCATTCAATTTGCGGTAAAAAATTTAAGTGAACAAGTCACTGAGCTATAGAATATTGGGTGCTTTGTGCGAGTCCTTAAATCAGATTTTGACAACACTCATAAAAAGCGTTTTAAACATCAAAAACTGATATTATTTGCACGTAGTTTTTGTTAAAATATATATTTTAAACAAATAGAAAACCTAAAGATTGGACCTTAATTATATTTTAATATATTAAGATATTTATTTAAACATGGAAAGGTTGCCAAAACCACCATTTAATATATTTTGTTTTATTTATGCATTAATTTTTTATTTTATTTTTAAGCCTTATTAATATTATTATTATGATATTATTATATTAATAATATTATTATTAACATTATGTGAAACCAAGGCTAATAATATATTAATATTAATAATATATATTAATAATAATATTCAAGAATTCGTTTACTTTCAATTTTGAGTAATATTGACCAAAAAAAAAATAATTTGAGATTATCTTAGTTAAGATATAGGCAGGTAGATAGGTGCGTGTATTCTTAATCCTACAAATCCGTTCGGATCTTTTCATGGTTAATAAAATATTGATTGAATACTGATTTCGGGTGTTGGGGTTCAAAACCTGGTTGCAGCGTTTGGCATAGGCTACTAAGGACTTCTTCCCAGCAAACACTAGCCCAGGGTTTGAATCAGCAGCCTCATTGTTTAGTTATAAAATTTTGATTGTCAATAAAACTCTCAACAAACGAAGACTGCAATTTTAAATATAACACGCAAATCACGATTTTTTCAAAATTGACCAAATTATTTTTCAGAAAAAAATATTTAAATTATGAGTACATTTTTTTAACAAGAAAGCTTCGTAAAAGTAAAAAAAAATTTCATTTGTTGGCAATTATTGAAAATTCAGGAAACATTTTTTTTTTGGGCTTATTAAAAAAAATCTTACCATCATCCGCTGCGCCAATGTGCCACAGGCAAAGCAGAGCCCAGAACGCAAAAACACTGCACAACAAAAAACGGCGACTGTTAAACATTTTAATTGTTTATCAATTAAGCCGCTTGTTGACCACGTTCGTAGGCGTAAGAGCCAATTTTATATCCGAGTTGTCGACTTTGCCACGCTTAGCGCACGACTGAGCGACTTGATGGAAGTGAAGGCATTAAAATAAGATCAAACAATGTAAAAAAAAGTTTTAATTTTCTTATATAACAATTGAATTTAATGAGGTGGAAAACCCCATGTGCTATATACAGTTCGTTAAACAATTCACTTTCCTAGAATAAATAGACACAATAACAGATTAATAAATTCGCTCAGTTATTTGTTGCTTGTTGTTGTTTTTGTTGCTTCTCCGCTCGCTTGAGACACCTTTTAAAGATGCTCTCGTAGGTATAGGGCATATCCGCTTGGCAATTGAATGGACCCATATAGTGTATAGCGCCATAGTCGTAGCAATCCTCATGCTCATCCCCATTGCAATCCTGCCCATACTTAACCATATAATGCTGCAGTGTGTCTGCCGCACAGTGCGGATCATTTGCGCAGTTTGTGAATGCTTCATAGAAAATACAATTCAAATATATGAGCTCCATTTGTAACTATTATAGCTAATGCTACTCACAGCTGTCGGAGAGCGGTGAATCGCCCGGAATTGTCAGACGTCCCGAATCCACCCACTGATCCCAGGTAATGCGAAACAGGCCGCAGGCCCCGTTCACACACACCGCGGTGCCATTGCAGCCGCTCAGCGCCTCACACATGCACACCAAACACGTCTCTGTGATGGGGCGCTGTGTCTCGGCCTTAGTCCAGGCCACGCCCACTGTCAAGAGCAGGCAGAGATATAACAAGTTTTCACTGCCAGACATGCTGCACTTTTCCAAAAGCGTTTTTCCTATTCACTTCCGTTTCGCTACGTTCGACTGTTCTCGAGCTACTGAAATTTTGCGACTGTTTGTTGTGGACTTTTATTGTGCGACGCAGCGAAACGCGTTTTATGCGGCAATTTATCCGAACTATAATATAGGCATTACTATAGTTCAGGAAACTAAAACTATTTAAATATTGTTTGTTCTAGCCCACGTTAAATGCTAAAATAATTACGTGATCTTTAACTGATTCATCAACTAATCGTTTAAGCTGAAAGCAGTTAGATGCCTAGAATAGATTGTCCTTTAAATTGTCAATAGGTGTGTCTGCAAACACCTGAGATGCTCCATAAAACCCTGTTTAATTTATATTTCAACATTCTTTTTAAACCGGTTTTTAACCGATAACAACCAATTAGCCCTATTATCTCGCAGGTAATTTCCTTAACCTATTCATAATTCACGAGTTTTAATAAAAACCCGCACTAAACAATCGATGAGCCTATAAATATTTATTACTTATATAAGGAAAGCCCGTAACAACTATGATATTTTGCTATACCAACCGATTAATAGCCGATACGAAGCGTTAGCTTAGAAGATGCTTTCTTTCAAATATATTTTAAGCACCAATAGTTCATATTCCTGCCGACTAGCAACTCTCATTTAATAATTATCGGTTATAACCGATACCAACCGTTAATTTACAAGCAATACCAATCATGTTTTTAATATAAGCCAAATTAAGCTATTCGCGCTTGACAACTTTAGAGAACAACTATCCAACTATATCTTATTTTGGACAAATAACTCTGGCCGTTACTCAAAGCCCTGATCCTCGTAGTTCTCAATGCAGTCTTCGAAGGTGCTCAGGTACTTGAAGGGCATCTCGCCTTTACAGCCATATGCGCCCAGCCTGTGTATGCGGGCATAGTCATGGCAATCCATTTCGCCATCATCGTTGCAATCCTGATTGAACTTCTTCATGTAGTTCTGTACGCTGTTGGCGGCGCAGTGCGGATCGTTGGCGCAATTGATGAACGCCTCTTCCGAATCGGGTTGATCGCCATTTATGGTCAATTTGCCAGCGTCCACCCAATACGCCCAGGTGATGCGAAAGATGCCGCAGATGCCCTTCTCCGGATTGGTGCAAATAGCGGTCGCATTGCAGCCAGACATTGCCTCGCAAATGCAGTTGAGGCACAGCTCCGTGACGGGCTTGTCCAGCACATGCCCTGATAAACATATATTATAATTCTAACAGACATACATTGTCGGAATCGGAACTTACCCTGACCACGCACCCGACCGCACAGCAGCAGGCAGGCCAAGCACAGGCATAAAAGCCGTAAGATTTGCAGTTTTATAAAAGAATCAACCGGGGGAAACAGCTCCGTATACGGCGAGATGTTAGAGATTGTAGCACGTTCTAACACTTCCGCAACTGAGAAGTAAATGCAACGAGGTCGAAACGCATCGTCGTCGAAACCCGACAAATGTCTATAATACCGGTTTTAGGGCCAATTTGAACGAATGAAACAAATCAGTGATGCACTCAGATGCGCTCTCTGGGGTGAGAGGGCAGCTCAACCCCAGCTCAGTAGCATTGATAGGCTTTAGTGGCATATAAAACTTGGCTCTTGCTCTGCTGCTCAGCTTAAAAAGAAATACCTGACTTGTCATTTTAAATACATGCCTAGGGTATTTCACAGCCGAGTACTTTGATTAAAGCTTCGACTAGGTGGAATAGTCTTGAACTTAGTTTGCTACTCACATGCAAAAAGCTTTGACTCAAGCCCCAAACCCAGCAAAAGCTTTTGTCTTAACCGTTACTTGTCAAAAGTTAAAGCTTTCTTTTAAATGCCCTTACAGAGGGCTTGGTAACTTTGTCTCAAAGTGTGCGACTCCATAGAGGAAGACATCTTCGAGCTAATAAAATATATATATATAATATATCTGGAAGATGAGCTGAGTTAATATAGCTGTCGCTTAGTCTTAAAGCTTTTGCAATACAATTTGGCAGAGATTTGTCGTTATGTTGCAGGCAGTAGATATATCGAAGTCGGCTATATCGGGCCTCTATATATTATATAGGGATACGATTAGTTAGGAATTTAGTATACATTTATTTGGTTTTTCAATATATCTTTACTCACAATTACCACTCACACTTTGCTCCCTAAAATATGGCCAAAATCCTATCGATATCTTGTCACTATATCACATTGCTCCCATAGATCGATCTAGTATAGGACATATTATATATGAACATATATCGCACATCTGCTATGCCAGGCTACCCGATGATGACTCTTCATCTTCTGCTTTGCTTTACTTCCTATCTTACATCTCTAGAAAATTTTAAAACATTCCATTAAATCCTCTTCTCTGCCCGCCAATATATCGTATAGTTTTCGTTTATTATTATAAAAGTTTCAGTTATTGTCATAAGGTTTTTGCACAATTCAAACGATTAAAGTATACAAATTCCAACTCGTAGCTGCATATAAATAATTAAAGTATATACTCGTAGATAATATAGCTTAGCCCGTTGTGCGCACATCTATGGACGAGAAGGTGGACAGGCACTTGTCCAGGGCGCTCTGGTATTGATAGCTCAGTTCGCCCTTGCAGCCATAGCCGCCCAGCTTGTGTATGGCCGCGTAGTCGTAGCAATCGATGCCGCCATCGCCATTGCAATCCTGTCCAAACTTGGTCATGTAGTTCTGGATGGTGTTGGCCGCGCAATAGGGATCGTTGACGCAGTTGGCAAAGGCTTGAGGCGGCGGGGGGTAAAAAAGGAGTTTAACGAGGCGAACAAGTAGTATATTTCAGGTTTATATTTACCCTCCTCCGACTGGGGACTTTCGTTGTTCAGGGTCAGCTTGCCGCCATCCGCCCAGTAGGCCCAGGTGATGCGAAACAGGCCACAGACCCCTCCACCGCAGAAACGGGTCTGATTGCAGCCGCTGATGGCCTCGCAGATGCAGCCCAGGCACACATCAGTCACGGGCTTATCTGTGGAATAGCGGGCAAGGGGTGCAAAGAGCATCAGTTGACTATTCACTGCTAGGCTGATAAGCATATGGATGACCTATAAATTCATGAATCGTTTGCAAATAACGCAACGAGCTTTTGAGCCACAATGAAACTGGAATTTTGTTCGTTTCACATTTTTGATCAAACACATCATCGTTATATATTCTCAGATTTGTTAACTCAATTCGAATTGTAAACAAAAACAAACAAATAAAAATGTAAAGTGTAAGTCGAGCTAATAAAATATATTTAATCAAGCTATATTTATTATGATATGATTGTGATATTAAAATAAAGCACAAAAATTATAATAAATTTCTGCTGCGCGTACGCCCATGAACCTGGCGGTTGGATTCTGTTGGATTCTGTATCGCTCTCAGACATGGCCCGAACTAGTTTTGCAACTTTCAATGGCAACATCTTTAAAGATTAAATTGTTTTTTCTTCTTCTTCTTATTGTTATTATTCTTAACTAAAAAAAAAAAACGAACTGCTGTCATGGGCGTATGAGTCAATGTGCCTTATCAAGACATAGCACGAACCCCGTAAATTGCGATATTCTTTTATTATTTCTCTTATTTTTGTGGGCTGTCGAAGGTTGCCTCAAGATGTTGCTTGTTAAGTGCAAAAATTGATATTGAGCCCATTTTTACTTATTTCGTATGCACGTAGCGAACCGAACTTGTCGCACATGTATTTTGTATTATTCCGAAATGATGAATGTCGCCTCTTGAAAAACCTTTGAAAGAGTCTTGCTACACTTAGAGAAATCTAAATGGTTTATGGATAACATTTATTTCTGTTAGAAGGCGCCTCAAAATTGTTGTTATTCATAATTTTTGACATTCTCACGCATCAAAATCGCGGGGTTTTTATTTGCCGGTTCGACGAACTCTTGAAAATAGCCAAAACAGTTACTAATTTGGGTCAACATTTGCATAACTATATTAATTTATTATAATTTTTTATTAGTTAATAACTGAAACAAAATTTTAGCTATGATTAATTTTCTTTAATTTCAGTTCTAATTAGTTGCCTTAGTAACTGAGCACACTATAATTATCGCATATAATCACACCAAAATATGTGTAATAACTGGAAAAGTCAGAGATCAACACACACGCGAGGACTGAGTGCATACGTCAGAGTAAATCGCGAGTACTTCACAAAAGGCGTACTTTTTCCCGGACTTAGCGATAATGGATGACAAAAAAAAACAACTCGAATAGTTGTATGGAATTGCAGGAAACTCTGCAGAGGTATGTACATATTTCTATAAATTTATTAACCTAGGCTTGGCCTCGTGTGCATATGAAGACAAATGCATTTGCTTAAACTAAGCTCACTTTAACTATCGTTTAAGTTATTGTTTAAGCTGCTTAATCAATTAATTAGCATAGTTCATTATCGCATCGTACAAACAATTTGTTAGCTTAGTTCCGCTTCATGTAACTTAAATTAATAAACTATTAATATCGGAAGTAGTTAGCAATACGCTGTCAATGCCCCTTACAGCTGTTATTAATGCATTCCCAGCTCAGACGAATATAAAATAAACCATTGAGCTAGCAAAACGCATTTGTGTAGAGTGGAAAATATATATTGATATATGCCTCAACTCTTTCCATATAATATACATTTGAAGTCAAACAGAATCTTGTATTTCTATGATTGCTAATTAATGTTAATGAAATGCACGAATCTGGTGGACAGGTATTTCCATTTCGCATCCGAAAACCTATTGACTGCCATGTGTGACGGAATCTCTCGCCCAAAAGAACAATACATGTACCCCCATTCGGTTTGTTTCACTTACCCTGCGCTTGTATCAGAACCGCAAAGCCCAGGCACAGAATAGCACCTATAGCCAAAGTGCAGCACAATTTATTGGCAGCCATTGTTAATGTGTGTGTGGGTTTTATTGCCCAAAAAATCGACTATATTTATTTAAATTTTAAACAAATGCCAAAGCTCTCACAACACTGTCTACTTGTGAACCGAACGCTAGAACGACGCGCGAGTAACTGAGCTGCTTTGCGAACGGGCTGCGCTCTTTTGTTCAGCGGCCCAAAAAGCTTTTGCGCAAAACGAATAACTTTGACCACGAACTTGGGCAGCGCACAGTGGGCCGAACTAGTCAACTATCCTATAAATAAAAGCTTTTGCTAACGGACTTGAAACATGAGAGATTACACAATGAGTGAAAATTTCAAAAAAAAATTAGCCAGCCATTATATGTATAGCTCCCACATAAACGGACAGTTATAAAGGAATTTCATTTGGTATTCATATTAAAATAACTGCAAGACATACAAAATTTATTTATAATTTTTTCTGAATTTTTTACCATATGAAATAAACTTGTTTTTACGAGAAAAATACACTATGCACATGAGAATCCGACGAATCAGTTTTGTTAATTTTTCATTATCCAGTGCAACATTTATACAAAATACTACATATCTGAATACGGCACATTTATGCATTTCCTATTGTGAATTAAGGATTAAGGTCAGGCTGTAAGTGTATTTAACGTCTACTAGATGTAAAATACAAAAAATAAACAGTGTAATGTACAAAATTTTAAAAAATATTATAATGTATCTGCATAAACAAATTTAGTCGAGTTTAAAAAATTTTAAAAAGTATTTTAATGCACTTTCTCAAATATATTATGTTGGGCTTAGCAGCTCACGGATTTGCATATACTCATACGTCTGTAATCTTTTACATAAGCTTTAACGAGCTTTCACAGAAGCTTTAATAAGCTTTAACATAACCTTTAATAAGCTTTTTGGAACATTGATTAGCTTGAGGCAACAAAACAAGAATGGGCGCCTATTTCAAAGTTAAAAAATTTGTATCAAAGGCTGAGTTAATATAGCTTTGTTTGTCAGTCAGCCGGTGCTTAGAGCGCATTTGCAAACTTAAATTAAACCATATTTTAGTTTTTATTTTAGTATGGGCTTTATATATATACATTTATATAAAGCTTCTTCTTATAAGGTTTCTGCACAATTCGAACGATTCAAGATGCAAATTTCAGCTCACAGCTGCATATAAATAATGAAAATAAAGCTTAATGCAATATGCGCACATTAATGTTCGAGTGTGCCTTGAGACACTCATCCAGTGAGTTCTTATATTGTTGGGTCAGTTCGCCCTTGCAGCCAAAACCACCCAGCCTGTGTATGGCCGCATAATCGTAGCAATCGACGACGTCATCGCCATTGCAGTCCTGTCCAAACTTCCTCATGTAGTTCTGGATGGTGTTCGCCGCGCAATAGGGATCACTCACGCAATTTACAAAGGCTAAGGGAGAGGGATGCGAGATGGGGGAGAGAACAGGAGTTTAACGAGACTAGCGAGTAATATATTTGTGTTAGTTGTTTACCCTCCTCCGCCTGGGGACTGTCGTTGTTCAGGGTCAGGCTGCCACCATCCGCCCAGTAGGCCCTGGTGATGTGAAACAGGCCACAGGCGCCGTCGCCGCAGTAACGTGTCTGATTACAGCCGCTGACAGCGTCGCACAGGCAACCCAGGCACACTTCATTCAGCAGCTTATCTGTAAAAAGGGTGCCAACAGTTCGTTGATTATTTAGTTGAACGCTGATAAGCAATTATATGATCTGTAATGCATTTACTAATTACAATTAATGAACCGTTTGAAAACAACGCAACGAGCTATTGAACTACAGTCGTTAAGAAAAATATATGTATCTTCTAATCAAATGACTGCTATAAAATATTAATAAAATGGATATGCAGGTATTTCCCTTTTGCATTTGAAATCATTTTCAACATGTTTGGAGGCATTTTGTTGTCCAATGGTTCAATAATTGTACCCCATTTGGTTGGTTTCGCTTACCCTGTCCTTGAATTAGAGCCGCAAAGCCCAGGCACAGGATAACACCTGTAGTCAAAGTGTAGCACAATTTATTGGCAGCCATTGTTAATGTGCGTCTTGTATTGCCCGACAAATCTTTATTTATTAAAATTCCAAGCAAATGCGCAAAGCTTCCGTATTTTGCTGTTAAATCGAACGGATGGACGTCCCGCGAGTAACTGAGTTGAGTTGCGAGCACGCTGCATCTTTTGCTGAGGCCCAAAAGCTTTTGCTCAAAAGGAATAACTTTGATCGCAAACTTAGGCAGCGCACAGTGGGCCAAACAAGTCAAATTAAAAAGCTTTTGCTAAATGATTTGAAGCATGAGAGATTACACAATAAGTGAAAATTTTAAAAAGATCGGCCAGCCCACATAGCCGAATTTTTATGAAGGAATAACTTTTGGTATTCATATTAAAATAACTGCAAGACCTACATAATATACTTTTAATTTTTTCTGAATTTTTACCATATGAAATAAACTTGTTTTAACGGGAAGAATACAATATGCTCATCAGAGTCCCACGAATCAGTTATGTGAATATTTATACAGAATACTAAATATCTGTATCCGGCAAATTAGTTTTTGATTTTTCACGTGTCGGCATCCAGTTGTGCCTCATCAGGGACTCATTTTGTCAGCTATTATTGCATTATCTATATTGGACCTCGCTTTAAATTCAATTATTACAATATGCGCACATCAATGTTCGAGTGTGCCTTGAGACACACATCCAGTGAGGTCTTATATTGTTGGGTCAGTTCTCCGTTGCAGCCAAAACCACCAAGCTTATGTATGGATGCATAATCGTAGCAATCGACGACGCCATCGCCATTGCAGTCCTGTCCAAACTTCCTCATGTAGTTTTGGATGGTGTTCGCCGCGCAATAGGGATCGCTGACGCAGTTGGCAAAGGCTTGGGGAGGGATGGGGATGGAGTTAAACGAGGCGATCAAATAGTATATTTCTGGTTTATATTTACCCTCCTCCGACAGGGGACTTTCGTTGTTCAGGGTCAGCTTGCCGCCATCCGCCCAGTATGCCCAGGTGATACGAAACGGGCCACAGACGCCATCGGCGCAGTAACGTTCCTGACTACACCCGCTGATGGCCTCGCAGATGCAGCCCAGGCACACTTCATCCAGGATCTTATCTGTAATAACGGTGCAAAGAGTACGTTGATTATTCAATTGATCGCTGATAAGTAATTATATAATCTGTAATGCATTTACTTATTATAATTATTGGTAAGAAAGCAACAAGCTGTTGGGCTACAGTCGCTAAGAAAACTGTATGAATCTTCTAATCAAATCACCGCTTATTAATATTAATAAAATGCACATGCAGGTATTTCCGTTTTGCATTTGAAATCATATTGACAAACATGTTTTGACAAACGCATTTTGTCGCCCAGTTGGTCAACAATTGTGTCCCATTTGGTAGGTTTCACTTACCCTGCGCTTGTATCAGAGCCGCAAAGCCCAGATACAGGATAGCACCTATAGTCAAAGTGCAGCACAATTTATTGGCAGCCATTGTAAATATTAATTTATTAAAATTCCAAGTAAAGTAAAGCTTTCGTATTTTGCTGTTGAATCGAACGCTGGGCCGTGCCGCGAGTAACTGAGCTGAGTTGCGAGCGCGCTGCACTCTTTTGTTGAGGCGCAAAAGCTTTTGCTCAAAAGGAATAACTTTGATCACGAACTTGGTCAGCAGTGTTGCCAACTGCCTCTTCAAAAAGTGGTCGAGTTCAATTGGCAACAATTTTGTTCGGCGCTGTAGAAGCTTCATGTGTGAAAGAGATAGACATACGAGTTGCTTCATATAGCTTTGCTTAGTGTTTTATTTTGAATGCTGTATTTAAGAGTATCGAGCATAACGCCTAGATCTTGTTGAAGGCAGCAATATCGACGGACTGCACAAAGTCCTCGAACTCCTCAATCTTCTCCTGCAGCAGATCAATGGAGACCTTCTCGTCTTCAATGACGCACATAATCTGCAGTTTGTTGATGCCATAGCCAACGGGCACCAGTTTGGATGCGCCCCACAGCAGACCGTCCATTTCGATGGTGCGCACAAAACGCTCCATCTCCTTCATGTCGGTCTCATCATCCCATGGCTTCACGTCGAGCAGCACAGACGATTTGGCAATCAGCGCGGGTTTCTTTGATTTCTTCGCAGCATAGGCAGCAACACGTTCTGCCTTGATACGCTCGGCCTCAGCATCATCCTCCTCATCGGAGCCGAATAGATCCACGTCATCGTCATCATCGGCAGCTGGCTTGGCAGGAGCAGCCACTGTGGGCTTGGCGCCGGCCAGTTGTGGTAGCGGAGCACCGGTCCAAGCGGAACGCTCACCTGCCTCGAAGGAGGCAATGTGACGGTACCAGCGAGCAACATGTGCGAAGTCGCCAGCTGGTGCCTTGCCCAGGGCATCAAACACGGACAAATCGGCCTTCGAGGGGGTGTAACTGCACAGAAAAGAATATCATAAATATATATATATAGTAAGTAGCGAACATTTTTATGCCGACGTGTTTGCCGTGCATAACCTCACAGTTGGCAGGCACATGCTAGATATGCTTACCCGCTGATGTAGCTGTTGTCGGCCAGGAAGTTGTTCAACTCCTTGAGGCCTTGTGGGGTCTTAACATCACCGAATGCCATTTTAAATGCGTTTAGTTTATGATCAATTCGCGTTTAAAATATTTTGTGCCGTGCGCTGAGCTGCGTCTACGCTGGAATAGTCTGTACGAAAGAGCCAGAGATGTGCCAAAGCAAAAATATGTTGACACTAGTATCGATGAGCTTACACAATACATCGATAAATATGTTCAAAGAACATATGTTCTTTGGTTAGTGGTACTATGCAGCACTGTTCACGCAGCTACTCAGCTGTTTCCGGTTAGCTCTGCTAGTCGCTTGTTTAATTGGCTTAATTATTGGAATTTTTTTAAGCAAAATTAGTAGGAAATCAAAAACAAATAGCATAAAGCTCTAGTTATAACCGAAACACAGCCACTGTGGCAATTGGCAATTCAAAAAAGCGCTTCAATCGGCATACACAGATCTGGTTGGCGGGGAGAGGCACCCTGTGTGTGACGCAGTTACACAACGCCAAGAGAAATCAAAATTCTCAGTCTGGACGAGTAGGCCTCGGGGGAAACGATAGGGCTACGGACACATCTACAAACAAGCATTGCAAAGTGCACACAATCTTGGAGCTTTGCAACAGTCGTATCGCAGGTACGTTCGAGAACCGTCCCGGCTCTATTTATAGCCATCAATGTTCAGGTATTGATTTGTCTGCGGCTCATATGTTTCTATTCTGTCTATTCTCTTAGTTCAGGGACGCAAGCGCATGCGGTGATTTTCACTTTCATTTTGGCAGAGCTCCTAAAATTTTTTGAGCAAACAGTATTGTGTCGTCATGGTAGTCACTGCGTCCACTTGCCGCACGGAGACGGTGTTCGACTACAGCTGGAAGCATGTCGTTTCTGCTTATTGGAACCGTTATCCGAATCCGTCCAGGTGTGCTGTTTTCTCCTATTAACAACAATCCATTAGTTGACCTTACCATTCCATTTTGTGCAGCACTCATGTTCTTACCGAAGACACCATCAAGCGTGAAGTGCGCGATGGCAAATTGTATTCACGCCGTTTGCTATCCAAAACGAATCCGGTGCCCAAGTGGGGCGCACGGTTCTACAACAATTTGCCGGTCAAGATTGTTGAGGACTCAGTGCTGGATCCAGTTAAGAAGACTTTTACAACATTTACCCGCAATCTAGGTATGAAGAAGATAATGGTGAGTGGACTTTGATATCACAGGGTGACACAAGGTGCGACAAATATCTTTATGCATACACACATGCCTTCCAGAAAGTGGATGAAATTGTTGTCTACAGCGAACAAAAAGACGGACGCACTCTGGCCGTGCGGCGTGCATACATCAGCTCTCAAGTATTTGGCTTTTCGCGCGCCATACGCGCCTTCGGCATTGAGCGGTTCAAAGTCAACGGCCACAAAGCGTCGAATGGCTTTAACTACGTGCTGTGTCGCATGTTTCCGCAAGATCAGCTGACGACGGTGACAACAACCTCACAAAGCTCAACAGCTGCCTCTCAATTCGGCGACGTGGCCGTTGCGACCACAAACCATAGTAGCGGCAGCACATCGGAGGCGCTCAAGAGAACAGCAAAAATAGGCTATGAATTCTGCAAGTGTCATGCGAGCAAAATTGCGCAACTGTTTTCCGTGAGGAACTGAGTCTGTACTGGAACATTGTTTGGCGATATCTGCAATGGTTCTGTATAGACGACACGTGAAACTGGACGCTGTGGCAAGCGGCCAAATATATACCCATATATGTATATGTATATATATATATATATGTATTCCAAAATCACAACAATTTGCTGCATTTCATTCCGTGTGTGTTGAGTAGAACGGAGTAAGAGCATTATCATGCTCAACACAACAATGCATCATATATTCATGTCATTGATCTTTAAAAGAGCGTTAGGGGTTTGCATTAATACTGTAACTTTCGCTAGGTACATTCTCGTGAAAAATTTGGTTTTTTATTATGTCAACTATTGTAAATATATTTTGTAGAAAATACATGCTTAGCATTAATCATAAACATACTCGAAACCATTAATTTGTATAAATTATATTACCCATTTATGTAAAAAAAACACAGATTAGTTTTAAAATTCGTTACCAAAAAATATTAAAGAATTGGCGCAAAGTATGTTGTTTACATCACAGCTAGTGTTGTTCAATGCGTGGTTAATCGATGTACCTCATTATAAAAATTCTTCTGGTGTTGTAAATTTCACATAATTTTTTTTTGCTGTAAAATCCGGCTTTATAAAGTTTAAAGAAAACGGCAGTGGTTATCGAACATTCTTAAAAATGATTTTGTCTTTTATTGTCACTGCTTATTAATACCCTTTACCGTCCCAAGTTGTTTAATTATGCAGATGTCATTATCCCCACAGTTCAAAGTTTATTAGATCGGTTAATTCAAAACTACGTAGACATGAGTTTACTACAAACTATTCCATAATAATAAGAAACGAAAAAGTAAAACATTTACTGAATAAAGAAATAAGAAAAAAGGCTATATTATATTATGGGCAATGTAGCTTGGTCTATTATAAAATTATTGTAGACAATATTGGAGTAGAACAAATTATAAACATACATTGTAATAAATAAAAAATCAAAGATAGTGAAAGTTTAAAAAAAATTTTAAAAATAAAATAAATCGGAAACCTATTCCCTAAAAGCAGCAAAGGCTGGCAACGCTCTTATTTTGTGATAATGAGTATTCATATCGATATCTATCTTCGATGAAGTTTGGCAATCGCCGCTTTTTCCCGCTGTATTAAGACGCGTTTTGAGCGACTCGCTTAATGTATTAATTAAATATATAAACTAAATAAATAATAGTTGTTGAACGGATAAAAATATGTCAAAAACAGATGTCAATGCAATGGAGGAAAACAAAGAAAATGTGGTAAACTGCTACTAAAGAAAACAGAAGTGATCCCGTTTTTTTTTTTTGATTAAATCCCGTTGTCTTTTTTTGTGTTTCTAATGCGCATTAGATCGAGAACTCAGCGGAGCCTTCAAAATTAAAACAAGCTAAGGCAGCCTTTTTAAAAAATATTGAAGTCGCACGCAACAGGCGCTTCGATTGTCTGCTTAAGCAAACGGAGATCTTTGCACATTTCATGTCGAATACGAATCCAAACGCAGAGAGCCCCACCGTTGGCAAGGGGAATGCCAGGAAGGGAAGGCCGAAGGGCAGGGTGAATGGGAAGGCAGAGTAGGTGAAGCAAACCCTTTCAATACAACCCAAATAACTAAGCAATTTCCTATTGCACAGACAGCGACGCCGTGCGTCGGTAAAGGATCAGGCTCATGGGGCGGAGGAGGAGCTGTTTGGCGAGGATTCGAATAACAACAATCTCGTACATTTTGATGCTTCGCCCGCTTTTATTAAAAACGGCGTAATGCGTGATTATCAGATACGTGGCCTAAACTGGATGATATCGCTCTACGAGAACGGTATCAACGGCATCCTGGCTGATGAAATGGGTCTGGGAAAGACGCTGCAGACCGTCTCGCTGCTTGGTTACCTCAAGCATTTTAAGTGAGTGATAAAACAAGCGTTTAAAAGGTATCCATGTTTTAATGCAATCCTTGTTTGCAGAAACCAATCTGGACCGCACTTGGTTGTCGTGCCAAAGTCGACTTTGCAGAATTGGATGAACGAGTTTAAGCATTGGTGCCCTTCACTCAACGCGGTTTGTCTCATTGGCGAGGTGCAAAATCGCAAGACCTTTAAACGCAACGTGCTGGTGTCTGGTAAATGGGATGTGTGCATCACCTCCTACGAGATGTGCTTGCGTGAGAAAAGCGCCCTAAAAAGCTTCCACTGGCAGTACCTGGTCATGGATGAGGCTCATCGTATTAAGAACGAAAAAACAAAGCTCGCGGAGATTATACGCGAGTTCCACTCGGCCAATCGGTTACTCCTTACGGGCACCCCTTTGCAGAACAATTTGCATGAGCTGTGGGCGCTGCTCAATTTCCTGTTGCCAGATGTGTTTAACTCCTCGGAGGATTTCGATGAGTGGTTTAACACAAACTCCTGTTTGGGCGATGAGACGCTGGTCTCACGTCTGCACGCTGTGCTGAAGCCTTTTCTATTGCGTCGCCTGAAGTCGGAGGTGGAGAAGAGTTTGAAACCCAAGAAAGAGACCAAGATCTTCGTGGGTATGTCAAAATTGCAACGCGAGTGGTATACTAAGCTTTTGCTCAAGGACATTGACGTCGTTAACAATGCTGGCAAAGTAGAGAAAATGCGACTTCAGAACATCTTGATTCATCTGCGTAAATGCACCAATCATCCCTATTTGTTTGATGGTGCCGAGCCAGGACCGCCCTACACGACGGACGCGCATTTGGTAAACAACTCTGGCAAAATGATAATTTTGGACAAGTTGCTGCCAAAGCTGCAGGAGCAGGGCTCGCGTGTGTTGATCTTTTCTCAGATGACGCGCATGATGGACATTCTAGAGGATTATTGCGCCTGGCGTAACTATAATTATTGCCGCTTGGATGGCAAGACGCCGCACGAGGACCGTAATCAAATGATTCAGGAATACAACATGGAGAAAAGCACTAAATTTATATTTCTCTTGTCAACTCGAGCGGGCGGCTTGGGCATCAATTTGGCCACCGCCGATGTGGTCATCATCTATGACTCGGACTGGAATCCGCAGATGGATCTACAGGCCATGGATCGTGCACATCGTATTGGCCAGAAAAAACAGGTGCGTGTGTTCCGTCTAGTGACGGAGAACACCGTCGACGAGAAGATTGTGGAGCGTGCAGAAGTCAAGCTACGTTTGGATAGAATGGTTATCCAAGCCGGTCGTGTGCTTGAAAATCGCCCCCAGCCCGGCAAGGATGAAATTTTGAATATCATCCGTTTTGGTGCAAAGGATATATTTAACAACAAGGACATGAACAACATGGACGAGGACATAGATGTCATACTTGAGCGTGGAGAAGCCAAAACAGCCGAGCAAAAGGCCAGACTAGATAAGCTGGGCGAGAGCTCATTACGCACCTTCACCATGGACACAAGCGGCGAGGCAGGCTCCTCCTCCGTATATCAGTTTGAGGGCGAGGATTGGCGCGCGAAGCGAAGGAGTAATCAAATGGACCATTGGATTGAGCCGCCCAAGCGTCAGCGTAAGGGTATCAATTATGATGAGATGACTTCAAATAATACAAGCTAAAATCAGAAGGGCTTTGAATCCACCCAAGTTATCAGAGGCCATTTACCATTAATTTATTTACATTCATACAACTCTCCACTAGTGAAACCATACGTTATTTATATGTTGTCAAAGAGAAATTTGATTTTTTTATTTTCTTAACCAAATACAATTAAATATGCATTACTATTAAGTTCACAAAATAAGATCAAATGTATCAACAAAATAAAAAATAGTTGACAAGATTGGCGCGAAAACCTGCTTACATTTATCTCGGTGTTGTAAAAAAACTAAAACGAGCAGCCCTGGTTACCGATGACTTTTGCGACATTGGTAAACTATCGATGAATCGTCTTCAACGCAACCCCGCAAAACGCCACTTTTTCCCGCTGCTGCTCACACATACAGACGCGCAACGCTCTCGCTTGTCCAAAATAATTTGGAAAACTCAATAATTTATAATTTTATAGAAATTAAACGAGAGACATTGTTAATATGTCGAAAACAGATGCCGCCACAGTGGAAACCAACGAGGAGAACTCGGTAAGTGAAAATAACAAAGCCAGAGTTTGCAAAATTTTCCATGCCAAAAGTAGACGCCGCATGCCGCTTCGTGCAAATGTTTGTTAATAATTTTCCATGTACGTTCCGGCAGAATGAGACCACCTCGGAGGCGGCAACGAGCTCTTCGGGCGAAAAGGAGGCTGAGTTTGACAATAAAATCGAGGTTGATCGCAGCAGACGCTTCGATTATCTGCTGAAGCAAACGGAGATTTTTACCCATTTCATGACAAACAGTGCAAAAAGTCCCACCAAGCCCAAGGGCCGACCCAAGAAGATCAAGGACAAAGACAAGGAAAAGGATGTGGCCGAGTAAGTGATTCAGAAGTTTTTCTTTTGATCCCCTTAAGTTAATGTTAACTTGTTTGGCACAGCCATCGACACCGCAAAACAGAGCAAGAGGAGGACGAGGAGTTGCTCGCCGAGGATTCGGCAACCAAGGAATTATTTCGTTTCGATGCCTCGCCCGCATATATCAAAGGCGGCGAAATGCGTGACTACCAGGTACGTGGTCTAAACTGGATGATATCGCTCTACGAGAATGGCATCAACGGCATCCTGGCCGATGAAATGGGTCTGGGCAAAACGCTGCAGACCATCTCGCTGCTTGGCTATCTCAAGCATTTCAAGTGAGTACTTATGATATAATGAATGAATTACATTCTATTTAGCATTACGGCACTCCATAGAAACCAAGCCGGACCGCATATTGTGATCGTGCCCAAGTCGACGCTACAGAATTGGGTAAATGAGTTTAAAAAGTGGTGCCCATCGCTGCACGCCGTCTGTCTAATTGGTGACCAGGACACAAGAAACACCTTCATACGCGATGTGCTCCTGCCGGGCGATTGGGATGTTTGCGTTACCTCCTACGAGATGTGCATACGCGAGAAGTCTGTATTTAAGAAGTTCAATTGGCGCTACATGGTTATTGATGAGGCGCATCGGATCAAGAATGAAAAGTCGAAACTCTCAGAAATTCTGCGCGAGTTTAAAACCGCCAATCGTCTGCTTATTACGGGCACCCCACTGCAAAACAATTTGCATGAGTTGTGGGCGCTGCTCAATTTCCTCTTGCCGGATGTGTTTAATTCCTCGGAGGATTTCGATGAGTGGTTCAACACAAATACCTGCCTGGGTGATGATGCTCTGGTCACTCGCCTGCACGCTGTGCTGAAGCCTTTCCTGTTGCGTCGTCTAAAGGCAGAGGTGGAGAAGCGCTTAAAGCCCAAGAAGGAAATGAAAATTTTTGTTGGTCTGTCGAAAATGCAGCGAGACTGGTATACCAAGGTGCTACTGAAGGACATTGACATCGTTAACGGTGCTGGCAAAGTGGAGAAAATGCGACTTCAGAACATCTTGATGCAGCTTCGCAAATGCACCAATCATCCGTATTTGTTCGATGGCGCCGAGCCGGGACCACCATACACTACGGACACACATCTGGTCTATAACTCTGGTAAAATGGCCATCCTGGACAAGTTGCTGCCAAAACTGCAAGAGCAAGGCTCGCGTGTGCTGATCTTCTCGCAGATGACACGCATGTTGGATATTTTGGAGGATTATTGCCACTGGCGTAACTATAATTATTGTCGCTTGGATGGCCAGACGCCGCACGAGGATCGTAATCGACAGATCCAGGAGTTCAACATGGAAAACAGCACTAAATTTATATTTATGTTGTCAACTCGTGCTGGCGGCTTGGGCATCAATTTGGCCACCGCTGATGTGGTCATCATCTATGATTCGGACTGGAATCCGCAGATGGATCTGCAGGCCATGGATCGTGCACATCGTATTGGCCAGAAGAAACAAGTGCGTGTGTTCCGCCTGATTACCGAGAGCACCGTTGAAGAGAAGATTGTGGAGCGAGCCGAGGTTAAGCTGCGACTGGACAAAATGGTTATCCAAGGCGGTCGTCTCGTGGATAATCGTGCCCAGCTCAATAAGGACGAGATGCTGAACATCATTCGCTTTGGTGCCAACCAGGTATTCAGCTCCAAGGAGACGGACATCACTGACGAAGATATCGATGTCATACTGGAGCGCGGGGAGGCCAAAACAGCAGAACAGAAGGCTCAACTAGATAGCTTAGGTGAGAGCTCGTTGCGCACCTTTACCATGGACACAAACGGCGAGGCGGGCACGTCCTCCGTGTATCAGTTTGAGGGCGAGGATTGGCGCGAGAAACAAAAGCTGAACGCGTTAGGCAACTGGATTGAGCCGCCCAAGCGTGAGCGAAAGGCAAACTATGCTGTGGACGCCTATTTCCGGGAGGCATTGCGGGTCTCTGAGCCAAAGGCGCCTAAGGCACCACGCCCGCCCAAGCAGCCGATTGTACAAGACTTTCAATTCTTTCCACCGCGTCTGTTTGAGCTGCTAGACCAGGAAATCTATTATTTCCGAAAGACTGTTGGCTATAAGGTGCCCAAAAACACGGAGCTTGGCTCGGAGGCTACCAAAGTGCAGCGCGAGGAGCAGCGCAAAATTGACGAGGCTGAGCCGCTCACCGAAGAAGAGATTCAGGAGAAGGAGAATCTGCTTTCGCAGGGCTTCACAGCCTGGACAAAGCGTGACTTTAACCAGTTCATCAAGGCGAACGAGAAATACGGTCGTGACGACATCGAGAACATTGCCAAGGATGTGGAGGGCAAGACGCCCGAAGAGGTCATCGAGTACAATGCGGTGTTCTGGGAGCGCTGCACCGAGCTGCAGGATATTGAGCGTATTATGGGACAAATTGAGCGCGGCGAGGGCAAAATTCAACGACGTCTGTCGATAAAAAAGGCCCTCGATCAGAAGGTGCGTTTAACTTTTGGATTGGAGTTTTAACTTTAAATATTTTTTTTTAATGAATATTTGTGTCTTTTGCAGATGTCTCGATATCGCGCGCCGTTCCATCAGCTGCGATTGCAGTATGGCAACAACAAGGGCAAAAACTACACAGAAATTGAGGATCGGTTTTTGGTCTGCATGCTGCACAAGCTGGGCTTTGACAAGGAGAACGTTTACGAGGAGCTGCGTGCGGCCATAAGGTAACCAGTCATGCCTTATCCTTGGATATATATGTCTAATGTTATTTTCGTTGCGGCTTACAGAGCCTCACCCCAATTTCGGTTTGACTGGTTTATTAAATCTCGCACTGCGCTGGAGCTGCAACGACGCTGTAATACGCTGATTACGCTTATTGAGCGCGAGAATCTTGAGCTGGAGGAGAAGGAGCGTGCCGAGAAGAAAAAGAAAACGCCCAAAACACCGGGCAGCAGCAGCACAAACACACCAGCGCCGCCACAGCAGCCGAAGGCGAATCAGAAGCGCAAAAACGAGGTGGTTGCAACCAGCTCCAATGCTAAAAAGAAGAAGAAGTAAATGCATCTAATATGACGTCACGGTTGAAGATTCAGTTGATAATATAATAACTATAATGATAATAACAATAATTAAACAAAAACGATTCAAATGAGATTCAGCTCCGCACAGCATTAGTTTGTAGTAAACACGCCCACATAAATGCACTCACGTTTGTAGTTTCTTAGTTCATCCAGTTTTCACACAAACACAAATTGATTAATTTTATTACATACTTAATAATTACTATACTTATATATGCGCGCCGCTGTATTCTATTCCACTTAATTGTATTTCGTTATAAGTTTCCAATTATTTGTACTTTACGTGTATGGAAAATATTGCTACAGACCGAAACTACATTTGTATTTTATTTTGAATTCCTATAAAGAATGGATTGATATAAAAATGTTGTGCAGATCAGATTGAGCATTTGTAATGGCTCTATAAAAACAATGGTTTAAATGTTAATTCTAGCTAAGAGGTCTTAATACTTTGTATACCATTAGAGAATGCTCAAAATCCCTTTCATATTCAATTTTCCCTTAACTTATTTTATATTCTTAATCCTTTGTAAGTGATCGCAACACGTTTTGGCCTTTTGTTAAGTCGTCTTAATGTGCTCGGAGCGAAAGAGGATTTGTGAAAAATGAACAAGTCAATGATCAAAAAGGAGCAAAGGAATTTGTTGCAATAGTTTCTCTTTTGATGCTGACGATATTGCAAAAATTAAAAACACGAAATTATGGTATGCATAGCTTATACCCATTGCCAAATCCCACCCACACAAAAATGTACACTTGTTCTGCTCACAATTTTAACCGCCTCTGGATGTGGCTCATGAACTAAATTTTCCATATTCTTGAACCCAGATCTAGATTTGAACCTTGATTCGTCCCATTCTTTTTCATTTAAAATGCACAAATTTACTTAATCATTATTAACAAGTTCTAAGTTTAATTCCGTATACCTATTAAAAATGGATTTACAAAAATGGGCCACAATGGAGCCTTTTTAGTCTTAGCAATCGATTCGAAATAGCCTTCTGTCTGTTTCTATAAACTTATCTCAGTTTTTATGGTACATTAATTAAACTTCTATATCATAAAGGTCCGATAGCAACAATCGGTGAAGTTTTCTTTTGCTTTACAGTGTTAAAATATAAGCACAATCTATTCTTTTAACAAAGCCCCAAAAAATATGCTATAAAAAGCGTTTATCGAAAAGTAAAGCCCTGTGGAAATAGAAATAAATGGTAATTGTTCTAGAAAGTGCAGATAAAGTCCAAAAGTATAGAAAGCTATTTACAATTGTTTACATAATTATAAAACTTTTAACATTTTTATTGTATTTAACGCGTACAAAAGAAGGCTTTTTAGCTAAGTGTGTAAGATTATAAATTCTTAGTTTAAATACAAAAACATATATATATGTGTGTATTTGTATAGATACAGGTACTTACTAGGCACACATAAGACAAACATATATGTGCAGAATCGGTGCTAGGGCTTAAGAATTAATATCATCTTTTCAATGCAGTCCAGCGGCAGCTGCTCAGTCATGTTCAACATGTCTTTCTTTTTGGGAGTTGTGTCTGGGTGTGGATCAAAATGTGTGTCTGTTTGTGTGTGGGGCTGCTGCACTTAGAACTACTCACTCGCTCTCCAATTGGAGCACCTGCATCTCATTTAATACTAGTTAAGTGTCGAGGCATATCAAATATGGACAATTTTTAATTTTCCTCTTTGGGATTTATCATCTCATCAATGGAGGCTGCGGCGCCGGCGACAAGCGCCAGCAGAGAGAAAATGCCCAGCAGAACATTCTTGATCAGCTTCCACTTGCAGGAGCCCAGACGATCAGGCCACAGATATACAGTCTCCACAAAGCTAGGCACAAAGATGCCCAGCAGCGAGAAGAATACGGCGCCCACCAAACTAATGAACGGCTCCAGATTGGGAATGCCTGCTGCAATGCCGCCGCTGACCAGAATGATGCCAGTGCGCAGCAGAATCTGCACCATGTTGTGCCGTTCCGGATTAAACTTGTGCTGGATCTTGCGCCACAGCACCTCATTGGGCCTGCAAGAGGAGAAGGAGGCCGAAATAAAAAAAAATGATTCTCAGTGGAGCATATTCTACTTACACATAGAACTGCAGACCATAGGTAAAAAGAATGGCCACTGCCATCAGAAGCTTGGCCGTATCGGCCGGCCAGGCGCCATCGGGCAGATTTAACGTAATGCTGCCGCGGACCTTGTCACCAAATCTCACCTGTAAACATATAAAACGAAAACTATGAGCAACTGGTTCATCTCCACTTTGGAGCTCAGCTACTCACATAGCCAAAGAAACCAATGACTGTGTACAGCAGAACCACAGTGATCATGGCTGTATTGAGGACGCCGGGACAGCCGAGGAATTGTTGTGGCTTCTTCATCGAGTTCTCCACGGGCATGACAACACCAATGCCCTCCATGGCAAAGATAACGGTGGCAAAGAACAGGGGTATGTGCGTTACGGGCGCCAGCAGAGGCTTGTCCGAATAGTCCAGCGTCTCATCGAACATGTAGTAGAGGGTTATGGCAAAGGTGACCACAATGAACACGTTCGCCATCAGTGAGAAGGGCACCAGCCATTTGAGGTTCCTGATCTGACCGATCAACAGGCAGGGTATCACAGTCATGGCAATATAGATTCTCACATCCCATTTGAGGCCCAAATCATAGTTGATGACATCGTGGAAGGAGGTAGCTATGAAGACCATATAGACACAGGCGGCCGCATAATAGGTTGCCATCAGGCCAACATCCACAAATTGCCTGCAATGATCAGTTATCAGTTATCAGCATTTAATTCGAAACACCTCCTAAGTCCTCAGCGAACTGATAGCAGAAAATAAAAATTATACTCTAAGTGAGTTATCAGAAACTTTGTGGGGGGCGTTATTGAAATTTGGTCACGATGTGTGAAAGTAATTAATGAAAGTGTATTCAACTGTACAGATTATATGTCAATTATATAAATCATATCGAAAGTTGTTGAGTGATATAGGCAAACAAGTTCTCGGAAAATAATTCCATTCAGTTTTTTTTGTCAAACAAATTATTGCATATACATATATGAAAGGGTATTTCTGCAATTCTTTTCCAAAGCTAAGAACTTTTTCATATATCAAATCCAATTATCTTATCTTGGGTTATATACATTTGTAAGATAATAAGTATTTAGAATAATTGGATATTGATGCTATTATAAGCTTCAACAAGTATCTCATTATTTGGCCAAAATTTCTAATTAAATTTCCAATTAATATTTCACCAGCTCGATAACAAAAGAAGGGAGTGGCGCGTAGCAGTTCGATTTTTGATAATGACCCTAACCCACACTTACTTGGCAAAATTGGAATAGGGTCGTATCGCTTTCGGTCCATACTCAAACACCTTCTCAGCAGTTTCCGAAAAACCCAATGCCGGAACTTTGGCATCCCGACAAATGTTGTGAGAAGTTTTTACCTAAAAAGTGCGGGAAAAGAAAATGACAAATCAAATTACAAGTTCAGGAATATTTTTCAATTTAATGGGTATAGGGTAAGTCTTATTCAAATGTTTTTATTATATTCTTTTAAATTCTATTCTTATATAAAAACATGGAACTGAATCAAAGCTATTTTTCTATGATCCAAGGTCAGTTTTAATCGGCTATTTTTCAAAAAGCAATGTCATGACTTGGAAAAACCCTTGGCTACTTTGTTAGAGCTCTCAAAACTATTTACATTGCATTTCCCTTAAAGTCCTTGAGTTATTTGTTTGCCCGATTAGAAATTGCGGACTTGTTGACGTCTTTCTTGAAATGCACTCGGTTACAGGGGACTCTATAAACAGCTAGGCACTTTATAGTACCCATGGTAACGATTATCGTGCATTGATTGTTATAGTTAAGCAATCGACAATTGTCTGGCATTGCGGAACAACATTCCCATAAGTATGTACGTAATAAGTAAGTCTCACTAGCAAGTCGTATGCGTTACTCCAGATAAGAGATCCATATCTACATGGACGTAGCTAGAGTCCAATCGTTACTTGCACTTTTTCGTTAATCCAAATTGAATCTTAAGCTATAAATCTGCGACTCGAGTGGCTTAATATATTTCCCGGGATTTGTGTGCTGATTCAGCCAAGAATTTTGCATTATTTATAGGCCGATTTCGTGCGTGTTTTTTTTATCAGGCGTGTGGCATTTATAGCAATTTTTATTTCTAGGAAATAGTATTTTTTGAGGACATCTACTATAAAAACGGCTCTAGCGTATTCATAAAAACTTCAGATTGTCTACACATGATAATTCCCAGTCGTTTTGGCGTTTCGTCATGGCGTTTTGCACGCGGTTTTAAACGCGAACCAACTTTGTTTCGCCCTCTTCGCGGCCTTTGTCAATCGCCGGGCCTTGAACTAGTTAAGTACAGCATCAAAATCTGAGACGTACAAGTGCGTCAATGGCAACAGCAGGTGTTAAAAATTGGATTGACAAATTTCTTGGTCGATTGCCTTTTTCCCGTTAAATGGGTTTTACTTTCTCAAGTGCGAGGAGCTCGTATATTTGCTGTGGTTTTTTCCGCATTCATTTTTACGCAAGGGCCAAGCCCAAAAATCGTTTAGAAAATAAATCAATCAACATAATTCTAGACAATACAGGAAATTGATGAAACTGAAAGATTTATTAATATTTATCTATCCAATTAACTGGCCGTTATGTATCGTTTTTCAATACTGTCACTCAAGTTTCTGACGTAGACTACAGAAATTGTAGTATTCACATATATTGACAATAGTTTACGCAAAATCTCTTTTCTCTTGAAGGTTCCCTTTCTTGAAATCTCACAAAAGCTATTTTTTGGAGGGTAAGCCATTTTCTTAGCCACCTTCGCATATAGTTAGCTTTATTTTCTTCTCACAAATGGGCAGCACTGTCACTTACCAAAATGTGCACACAGTGCGTGCAGAGGAAGCCCACGATAAGCGTCATGACGGCGCCAAAGACCAGACCAGCATTGTAAAAGGCCATGGGCATGGCCAGAATTCCGGTGCCCAATGAACTCTTGAGCAGATGCGCCAGAGCGCCGCCAGCGCTGGCGCCATTGGGATCGCGATTATCGAACGGACTGTACGCGGCCTCCTCCTGCGACAGCTGATCCTTCTCCGTTAAGTTGGCTCTGTGTAGAGAAGGGGGAAGGAGAGAGAGAGAGAGAGAGAGTAATAAAGCTGTTTAAATGCTGGAACAGCTGCTACTCACTTGGAGTTGAAGTCATTCAGCGGGACGACCGCAGCGCTATAAGCGGGCGGTGCTGCCGGCAGGTGTGAGCTAGACCCCGGTACCTCATTCGATCCGGCGGGTTCCGTGTCCGGCGTATATGCCTTATTATCTGTCATCTGTGGGTGTTAGAAATCGTTTGACATATGTGATGAACGCTGTTGGGCCTGATGTTTAATGGCTTTGATTCAGCTGGCCAGGGCTAATCCACTCGAAAGATTTGCCAGGCGCATGCCAGTCATATCTTATCATTGCCAATTGCAAGTAAAAGCTTTACCACAATATAACACAGAATGCGGGACAGTTGTCCCTCTTGCAGAGCTATGCGAATAATAAACACACGATCGTTATCTGATTTGCTGGGCCGTCCAGCAGGTTTATCATCCGGCCAGTTGGTTGACGGGTGGTCTGCATTCATAAATTTTATTCTACGTTTACGGCCAAAGTGTTTGTAATTCCGATATAGAACCCTCATAAAACGCATTCACATTAGCAATTAGCACATTAACAATTAGCTAGCCATTTGGGCACATAAAATGTCGGCCATATAGAGTGCATAGTAATATTTCTCATGGTCACATGACCAGCGTCCATGCAGGTTTGCCCCTTCAGAGTTCAAGAAGGCCGAGGCCCAACGATTCCACTCGAGAAATAGGTAAATTTGATTAGCCAACTAATCGCTAGTAAATATTATTTATGGCTTTTTCTCAAGTGCTACATGACTATGTTAGTTACTAAGTTGTATTGGGTTAGCCACACTTCTAACATGAACATTTAGTTACTGATTAGATTCGAGATGTACTCAAGAAGCACGTGGCTAGAACCAAAAAGTGTCCTAGTTAGTCAGGGTTCAAAAGTGAAATCTGTTCACTTAAAAACAATTTCTTGAAATGAAAATGCTTGCAAACATTTTCGAAATATTTTGCAAACAAAACTATTTGAGTTTGAAAAAAAATTAATCGTTTGGAAACTCAAGCCAGCTGAATAAAGATTTGTTAAATGTTTCGTTACTTTGTAACACACAGAAAGTGAACTACAGCTAGTTTTGTTAATTTTCATCGTAAAATGCGCTGCAATTCTCAACGAGTTTAAGCATAAAACGATTTGCAAACAATTTATTATCAAGTGATAAAATTTGGTTTGATTGAAAGGGATTTCAGATTGGATTAAACTAATTTTGTTTACCTTCAGTGTGCGAAGTACAATTGCAGTATTTTATAGGAATCGTTAAGATTTATTTTCTCAAACGACAAATTATTTCGAATTCCTGTTTATCATTTAATTGCGTGGTACAGATAATCAATAATGTAATGTTAATATGTAAACATACTTTGCCTGGTTAAAGGCTTATTATTATTATAATTATTTTTTTTTTTCTTGAATGTACTGTATTCATACAATTAAATAAGTTCTGATAGGAACTACAAATTCTTATTTAAAAGATGATCAATAACATTTTATTTTTTCACAAGCCTTATTGCTTCAATCCCTTGCTTTCTGCTTGTTACGAGCTTAAGAGTCTTAACGGGGTAAACTTACGTTCTGGCTATAATATTCGTCTGATATTCGCGAACAAGTTGTGAATTAGAACCGAACGCGCCCTCGGGCCAAAAGCAACTGAATGTTCGGCCGACGCCAATGGTGGGACTGGGCCCAGAGAAGGTGTTGAAATCCAAGTGTCCAATGATAACACGGCTAAAGGCAAATGCCAAGCAGTGGTAATTAATAAAGCACTCAGAGAAAAAAAAACATCGTTTGGAAATGCTCGTCATAAATACTCAAAGCTACCTTTAAAATCAATTATAACGCTGTACCTGATAGCTGATAACAGCGATAAGCGCCTGCCGGGAGCGCCCCCGAGCTGGCCCAAAGGCGAACTGGAAGAACTTAGATTTAATCAAGTGCGCTAAGATCTGGGTATTATTTGATATTACATTTCATTTAAAGGATTTGGGGTATTCAAGTAATATTTCTCCAACTATTTCGCAAACGAAATGAAATGAAGAAATCGTACAAGTATTATTTTATCATTGCAGCTCGATAAGATTAGTCAGCTGAAGTACCAAGCAATTAGGAACAAAATATATTATATATAAAACATAATATGTTATATTGATATAGTTATACATTTAAACATTTATTTATCTGTGTGTGCGACATTGACACGCTTTAAAATTATGACACCGGCAATAATCCTATATCTTACCGGCCAGAGTGTCCCAACCGTGTCTGGTAGTTACCCAGTTCAGGGGAAATTGGCTTAATAAAACTTTACGGCCCGATTAAAATGGGCCGTACTTTTTACTGCAATCTTGACATGCCGGGTGTTGGGGTGTTGACATTGTATTTTATTTGGGCGCTGGGCAATCGCCGATTATTATTAATAATTATTCTGATTGTCGGAGTCGTTTTGGATTTTTACGACATCACGGGTTTGATAGGATCATGAATCATAACGGGCACTTGATTAGTTCTCGGTGTCATATCACTGTCCACGTATATAGATCTATTATTTATGTTTATTAACGCCTGATTGGCGTGGCATTATAATCATCGCCTCGCCGCGCTGACATCCATAATTTAATTACACATTTACCCAAACTGCGTCACTAGTTTTATTTTTATGATTATGCTAAACTGGCAATGACATCAGGTACCAGGATACCGTCGGATCTCTTGACTAATAAGCGGAACGGAACAAGAGATATAAGTGAAAAGATTCCGCTAATTAATTATTTGACTTGCCATAAAATCAGCTCGTGGAATCTTTTCAGCTTGGGAAACTGTTAATTCAATAATATATTGAGGTATTTTGTTGAGGAGAGGTTTATTTAGTCTCTACTTTATGATTTGAAGAAGTCTTAAGCCGCAGATACAGATCTTAATTATAAGAATTCAATTTAAATTGGCTTAAGATGCACCATAAAACAATTTTAGTTTAATTATTATTAACAAGGCTTTTATCTCTTGAAATGAACTAAAAGACAAATACTTATAGCCGAAAATATAACTATCTTGAATCAGGAATATAAAGGCTACTAAGATATATCTGATCGTGATCAATAATTCATTTAATAAAGGTCTGTAGAAGTCTGAATTCCGCAGATACAATCATATTATAATCACAATTTAATTTGAAATGGTTTAACAGCATCTATTGATAACATCTAAATTAAATCTTTATAATCTTTATCTTTATCTTATAATTCAACTTAAATTGGCTTAAAACAATTGTTTTTAATTTTGTAATTAAACTTGGTTTAAGTTGGCTTTGATAGCATCTGAAAACCATTTTAATTGAATTGTTATTATATAGTTTTGTATCTTTTGAAATAAACTAGAAGGCAAGTACTTAAAACTAAAAATTGAACTTAGATGAATGAATTTTCTAATGGCATTTAAGAATTGCGTGAGCATAGATTTGTATACCCTAAAAAAAGGGTAAAAAGGTAAAAAGGGTATGTGCAAATGTATGTAACAGGCAGGAAGGAAGCATCTCCGACCCCATAAGGAATATATATTCTTGTTCAGCATCAATAGCCCAGTCGATCTAGCCATGACTGTCTGTCTGTCCGTATGTATGAACGCGTCGACCTCAGTGCGAGTTTGTTTCCGATAATCAATAACTTGCTCCGTTTCCAAGCAATTGATAAAAATTGATATTTAAATTCTGTTTTTAAGCACCAAATTCGACATGTAGCTTCTTGAATAGTATATATAGATCAAGTATATTTAATTTTATAGCTATCGAGCGAAGGGGGAATTTAAATTGTTGGTTTTTTTATTTATTTTTATAAATGCTAAGGCGAAGGAGCGCGTCGTGTGAGCTGCAATGGTTGCCGGTATAAAAAGGTACAGGGTATCCCCCAGTCGGTCACGAATTCGTACTTGTTTTATTAGCGAGAACTCAAAATGTAATATATTTTTGTACAGTGTGCCAAAGCAATTGCAAAGTCTGAGCTTTTGAGTTTAGATTGGAACCGAATACATATCTTTTGGAAATTGTTGAGCTTAAAAAGAGCCTTGAACTAATTTGCAAAATTTCTTAAACTAAAACTAATTTGGCCGCGAGACACGTTTCGCATTCCCAAACTTTTAGATAGAATGAAAACTTGCTATTTTCTTCCATTTTCAATTTTAATAAGAATAATGTAAACTGCGACTAGGCAAGAGTGTAAATCAGGCTTGTGGATATTGTGCCATTCGAGTCGATGTAAAATTTCTTGAAGCATCTTTTAAACATGTTCGTCAGCTGCTCTTGGCTACATTATATAAGCGCCGTGCAGAAGAAACCTGCCGTTTAACCGCACCTTCTTTTACTTTCCTCATTTACTTTTTATACTTAAACGACCATCTCGAGCAACGCCTTGCTAAATTGCTGGGGGCTTAAGTATTACCGTTAAATGTTAATTGTTAATTGAATTTCAATTAGGATCTGTCGTAGCGTTGCGGGTTTTGGGTCAATGCATTGCATTAAAGCCAAATTAAGCAAAAAGCCAGCATGGCTCCTTTTTGTCGTCAGTTTCTCATTTCTTGTTTCGTTTTTTGTTTTTGTTTTTGTTTTTTTGCTGCTTCTGCCGCTGCGATTCACGTGCTTGGGATCTGTGGCTGAAACTTGTTGCCAGCACGACGGACTGTCTGTCAATAAAGCAATTCATCAATGCTCAAGTGGCATTAAATGCCTTTTCATTTTAGCTCAGTGTCAAAAATGGTACCCCCCTCTTTATGAAAGGGGCTCACTTTCGATATGCAAAAAAAAGGTGTACGCATGCGTCGCATAATTAATGAGGCAGCTGACGTCCTCGTCATATTGAACTTGCATATTGAAATAGCGCTTGCGATTTACAAAGCCTTGCCCCGATATTATGTAAGATCGTCGAGAATACAGCGCATACATTGCTTGGATTTATGAATGCCATTAAAAAAGCTAAGTAGCTGACAGATAAAACTAAGTCAATAATCGTTTACGATACCAAAATCAAGTTGTTGTCGCCTCTTATCAGATATCGGGGCCACTGACTTTCAGTTCTATATGAAATTGTCCCAAACATTCAATTAGATGCGAAATGTGAGCGCAATTTTCATTTGTGTCTAGATACAACGTGACTGGACTTAATTTGTGCTTACTGATTGCATTTCTGCGACATATTCATCATAAATAATTAAATAATAAAAAAGTAATATAGCATCATAGATAAAAATATATAATTTAGAAAATTATATTGTCAACTCAACTAGTTTTATTTACTTGAGCTACATTTTTTTGTTTTGGTTTGTTTATTGCACTCTCTATTTGGGTGGTAAATAATAAGTTTATTTGTATTTAAAACTCATAAACAAAATTTGTAAAAAATGGGCAATATTTTCTGACATTTAAAGTGTGAATAATTATTGCATTTAAAAATATTTTACCAAATTTATCATCATAAAAAATAGAAATAAATCAGGTAAAAGTTTTTCATTTAAGCTTTGTTCAGCTATATTCATATTTTCTTTTTATTAAATTTATTTATAATGCTTAGTTCACACGCTCGTTACAGCTGTATTTTTTCAGCTTGTTGCCATAAATATAAAATGCCATTAAGTTTTGCGTAGGGCTTTTATGAAAATCTGCATTAAGCGGACTTTATTTGAATTACCTTTTCGCAACTGTTGCTAATACAATTATATTCAAAATGATTTGCACAATGCTCGTGTTATTTGTTTATGCTTTTGACAAACTGTTTGTGCTTAACATTGACACGAATTGTGATTGTTTTTTTAAAGTTCCTAATTTTTTTGCACCTTTGCGTTAATTAACGCCCGCACAAATCGCATGGAAAAAACGCGTGGAAAAACGCGTATGAATCGCGCGCGTTTTGTAAACACCAAAACTAGACTTTAATTAGCCGCAAGCTAATTTTAATTTACACAAAGCCTATTATTTAAACGGTTACTATTTATTTTGTCACTGAATGCAATGCTAAGCGTTTAATGTCGCGCGCGTTTTTTCTAAGTTGCGGGTCCTGCTGCGGCGGCGGCTGCGTTTGCGTTGTTGTCAACGCTCTGGCGATCAGTTAGTGACTGATATTAAGCCAATGTTGCTGCTCGAATTTGTTGCTGCTGCTGCGGCCGCTGTTGCCGGCTATAAAGCACACACACAAACACACACTCACATGGGCGATTGTCCGTTGTGTTAGCGGAGCGGGGCCAAGAGTGGGCGAGCAATTATCGCAGCGGACAATAAACGACGCCGTGACGCAGTTGGGGCGAAGTCGGCCTCTCTCTCACTTAGTATGTGTGCGTGTGTGTGTGTGTGTGTTTGTGTGCGTGCTTTCTATACCATTCAGTTTTGGGCATTTACAGCGAGGCAAGTCTGCCTGTGCATTGCATTGCTCATACGCAGCGTTGTCGCTGCGCGCACAGGGTGGCAACGCCCGCCGCCGCAGCAGCAGCAGCGAAAAAACGGTAGCTACTTAAGGCTCATTAAGATAAAATGCAGTCTGATAAACATTAGTATTGAAATTAGAACTGATAAGCCATGATTTACATTGGCTTTAAAGATCTGTGAATGCGTGAAACCCGCTCGTTTATTTACATTTTATTTAAGCGTAGCAACAAATTGTTGCAACGAACTTGAAAAGAAGTTCAAAATCCAAATTTGAAGTGTTCTTGAGCATAAATTATGGACATATCGTTGTTCATGACCAAACGAGAAAACAAGATTTAAAACGAATTTGGTTGAATATTAAATTTACTTCTTTGTTTTATGCGACTTCGTTTTGGGTTGAAAATTGTAAGGCAAATATTTTTTGTTTATTTTTATAAACTAATGCAGCTAAGAAATCTCAGTTTACTCGAGTTATTTGTATTCATTATTGTAAAATGCAGTCTAAATGATGCAACCAATCAGTTTGATTTGATTTTGGCTTCATTTAGTTTTACCGCTAGATTAAATTCAGTCGTTTTATTCCAAGCCATGCTTTAGCAGAAAGAAATTAAGAAAATCGAAACTTGGCAACGTTGAGAGCTGGTTCGAATCCCTAGCTAACGTAACGACGTAGGCTCTGTCAAAGCTATTATATATGTTACTTATAATAATAATAGTTTGCCCTAATTAAGGAAGCGTTGCTCATTTCAGTCAACTAGTAAGGTCTTCTATTGAACACCCTGTATACGCAAGAGACACAGTGTCTGCCAGCAGCATCATTATCAGCATGTTCATCAGGCTCATTACGATCAACATTAGCGCTTGCAATTTGGTAGGGGGTGTCGGGCGGAAAGAGTAAACCTGGTCAAATTGGAGTGCATTGAACATGGCAAGCTAAGAATTTGTGAGGCGCCTTAAAGAGCGCTCTGCTGCCGCGGCTGCTTGGCTGGGTTCCCTGCGTTGCAAGCCAGCGGGACGACGGCTAAGAGTACTTAAACATGGCAATTACTTAGTGTCTGTGTTTGTTGTGGCTGCTGTTGTTGCTGTCGTCGCCTTGAGGCGTCTCTTTAAGTCAGATCATGGAGTTTTGTTATTAACTTGTTTCAAGTGGACATTGTTGTTGTTGCTGTTGTTGCTATTGCACTCGATTTTGTTGTCTGCCCATAAAATATGAAACGCTCGATTGTTGTTGTCGCTTGTTCCATTCAGTGGGCCAGTGGAAAATTTTGAGGTACATATTGAAATGCAATTTTCACGTGCGTCGCATTTTGAAAACTGTTTTATTTATTTCGAGTTCAGTTTTAGTGACTTAATTAAACGCATGGGATAGATTGTCGCTCATTGACTTATGGAAAATTTTGAACGTTAATTAACATTTAGCGGAATTTGTAATTGGCTTAAGGCGTTTTTTTAGTTCGTTATTTTGTGATTAAAAACAAAATGTCGTCTGTTTCTATTTATCAATTTGACGTAATTGTCTAAATTGATTGGTTGTTAATTTGTTGCCCCCGTGTATCTTTAATTTGTGGCCATAAGTTACAAGCACCTTTTTAGATACCAGGTAGATATGCGCAACATATGACGTACTATATACACAATGCCGAAGGTTGACATTATGTGAAGTTATAGATAAATATGGAAAGCTGTGTTTTTATCAGCAAAACATTGGCCAAAGTTCAATTAGTTTAATGATTAACTAAGAAGTTGTATAGACACAGGAGTATATATAATCTATGTATATGCAAGTGTGATGACGGGGGATATACAAAATATATTAAAAACGCAAGACAAGTTAGATTTTGAAGAGTGCCTGGCCAAAATATACCCTATATTCATGCTGGTCCTGCTGGTGCTTTTTCTTTTCCCACACTACACAAACTTTATTCGTAGATAACTGCCATAATTATCGTTCGTTTGTTGTGCAATTTTCGGAACTTGGGAATTACATTCAAAAGCAAAGCAAAGCCAAGCTTTTGATTTAGTTTTCGGCGAGGTGTCCAATAAGCACAGAGCTCAAGCTGTATTCCAAATTTGTTATCATCTTAAAGATCAAATATTTGTACTTTGTGAGTTACTAAATGCATCTTTTTGCCTGTCATATACATTTGGATAGCTTCAAAAACAGCATATTTTTTTTTCAATTAGGAATGGTTACAGGGTATAATACGATTTGCCATCTTAAGTCATGCCTCGTTTGTTGCCATTAGCTTGACGTGTTTGTAATCTCATTGTTAACACTCGACATGTCGCCGTTTTAAAGTACAAATACCTGGAAAACATTGTATCATTTGAGTTGTGTGATTTTTGCTTTGTTTTGTTTTTTTTATTTTTTCACTTTTACAGGGTGTACGCCCATAAGCTGATCCATTGCAATGCAAATCGCGAGCCCAGCATACAGACATACATTCATATGTATTTCGTCCAAGCAAATAATGCTCATTGCATTAAAAATGCATGAAACTCGTTTTGTACACAACTGCCGTAGCACGTAATATATTTTCGTACCTTTTTGTTTTATAATAATATTATTATTATTAACAACAATAATGTTAATGTTAATGGGCATAAACAAATCGATATGCTTCCGCAATTGTTTCCGGAACAGCCTTCACATTGTGCAATGTGTGTGTTTTTGTATTCGTTTTATTTTGGGATCTAATTTTCTGTCCAGTTCGAGCTCATCAACCGTGTGTCTAGGCAATTAATTCATTAATTGATTAGTATGCAAAGTGCGCTTGGCATTAGTTGTCTTTAGATTGTCGCATCTGATTCGCCAAATGACCGATACTGAGTCAGCTGCGGAGTCAAGTCTAAAATACTTAAAACACACACACTTCGCATCCAGTCAAGAGCCGCGGCTACTGACCTTGCATGATGTCAAACACGGTGTTGCATGTTAATTGAATGGGCGTTTGATGTCTACCCCGTAGCCTGCCCCTTGGCAGGGCATTATGCGGCATCTAGGCGTGGCAAGTGGGTCAGCTGCTGTGGGTGACAAGCGGCGGCTAGTCAATAATTATGACAGCTGCCTCCTTGAGCGGCTGCGTCTGCGTCTGCCGTCGACAAGCGGCACGCACCCGCATTGCTTTTTGTTTTAACTACCAGTTAACGCCTTTCATTCAGTATATTTTTGTTTATATAAAAGCGTGTTTATTTTGTTTTGGCGAAACAAAAGCTCATTGTTTGCGCCGGCACTTAAAAAGTAACTGAATAGCTGAAAAAAACTAAATTAAATACGCTTACACATAAATATAGTATATATAGTATGTACATGCACAATGTTCCAATAAATGACTTTACTCAGTCAATCTGAAGTTATGGAATGCGCTTGTCTGGCGCTTTCTAAACAATTCTCAATACATTTCTATAGAAATGACAATTTCCGCATAGGCGGAGATATTTTTTGCATGTAAGTCGGATTTGCTTTGTGGGAACATAAATCACATGAACAGTCAAGCTGGGATTTAATAGCAGCAATTAGCATTCAACATGACTAACTGCAGCAACAATTGGGATCCACGTCATCCGAGTAGCATGAAGAAACAGTTATCTTTGGGAGTGTCGAAAATTAAATACCCTTACAGAATATACATATAACCAAAAAGCCGGGCCAAGTTTTTTTCCCCAATTTAAGAGAATACTTTTCTATTCAATTTATCATCCTTGAGAAATGGAATATTATATACATAGCTCTATTCCTTCTTAACATAGTATATTATGCTGCCATGCTGATAAGATTTGGACTATTATATATCACTATATTCACTCGACTGTTTGACAAATATCAAGAAGATAAAAACTTATGGCATTGGCAGATATCTTCCTCTATGCTTAACAAAATGCATGAAGAAATTTGGGCTACCCTCAGCAAGTGTATAACTACTAATTACTAGCAAGCCGACAGCTTAATAGAAATACGATCTTCAACTAGCACTAGTATAAAGCACTACGTTTGCATTAGTTATTATTTAAATTCATTTAAAAAAATAACAGACAAAATAGTTGAATAACAATCTAATAAATGCTCTGCTTTGGCTTAGAGCCAACCTCTGTTAGGTCAAGCCTATTCGCCCTTGTAGACAGGCTTGCGTTTCTCGGCAAAAGCTGCCAGTCCTTCCAGACGATCCTTGGTGGGTATGACCTGTGCATAGCACACCTCCTCGATTGAGTAGCCTGTATTTAGATCCACCTGCATGCCCTTGTCTATGGCCAGTTTGGCCATGCGCACGCCCACCGGCCCGTTGGGCAGTATTTCCTCGGCCAGCTTGACAGCCTGCTGATAAGCCGCATCCTTTGTTTCATTCTGCTCCACTACATGATTGACCAGACCCAGTTGCTTGGCCTCGGTGCCGTCCAGTACGCGAGCTGTGAATATTAGCTCCTTGGCCAGTGCGGGTG